TGTATCTGTGTGTGTGTATGTCTGTGTATGTCCGTGTATGTCTGTGTATGTCTGTGTATGTGCGTGTATGTCTGTGTATGTCTGTGTATGTCTGTGTGTGCATGTCTGTGTATGTGTGTGTATGTTTGTGTATGTCTGTGTATGTCTGTGTATATCCGTCTATGTCTGTGTATATCCATCTATGTTTTGGTATCCGTCTGTGTCTGTGTCTGTGTCTGTGTCTGAAAGTGTCTACGTATGTCTGTGTCCATGTCTGTCTGTGTTTGTCTCTGTGTCAGTCTGTGTCTCCGTATGTCTGTGTCTGTGTCTGTCTGTGTCTCCGTATGTCTGTGTCTGTGTCTGTCTGTGTCTCCGTATGTCTGTGTCTGTGTCTGTCTCTCTGTCTGGTTGTGTCTCTGTATGTCTGTGTCCGTGTCTGTGTCTGTGTCTGTGTCTGTCTGTGTCCGTGTCTCCGTATGTCTGTGCCCGTGTCTGTCTGTGTCTGTTTGTGTATGTCTTTGTACCATTTGTGTGTGTATGTTTGTGTATGTCTGTGTGTGTATGTCTTTGTATGTCTGTGTATGTTTGTGTATGTCTGTGTATGTCTGTTTATGTCTGTGTGTGTCTGTGTATGTCTGTGTATGTTTGTGTATGTCTGTGTATGTGTATGTCTGTGTGTGTATGTCTGTGTATGTCTGTGTGTGTATGTATGTGTGTGTATGTGTGTGTATGTCTGTGTGTGCCTGTGTATGTCTGCGTATGTCTGCGTGTGTATGTCTCTTTGTGTATGTCTGTGTATGTCTGTGTATGTCTGCGTATGTCTGTGTATGTGTGTGTATATTTGTGTATGCCCGTGTATGTCTGTGTATATCCGTCGATGTCTGTGTATATCCGTCTGTGTCTGTGTATCCGTCTGTGTCTGTGAATGTGTATGTAGGTGTCTCCGTATGTCTGTGTCTGTGTCTGTGTCTGTGTATGTCTGTGTATATCTGTGTATGTCTGTGTATGTCTGTGTGTGTATCCGTCTATGTGTGTGTATCCGTCTGTGTCTGTGTCTGTGTCACCATCTATCTCCGTATGTCTGTGTCCGTGTCTGTCTCTGTTTTTGTCTCTCTGTCTGTGTCTCCATATGTCTGTGTCTGTGTCAATCTGTGTCTGTGTCTATCTGTGTTTGTGTCTGTCTGTGTGTCTGTATGTCTGTGTGTCCGCGTCTGTCGGTGTATCCGTGTGTGTCTCTGTCCGCATACGAGGGTTGGCTACTGGGTGCCATAATTTCTTCGATTCAATGATATCGAAACGAATCTGGCACGCAGTAGTCAGGTTGGACATGTCCGTGTCTGTGTGTGTGTGTGTGTCTGTTTGTGTGTCTGTGTCTTTGTCTGTGTCCCTCTCTGTGTCTGTGTCCATGTCTGTCAGTCTCTGTGTGTCTTTGTCTCCGTGTATCTGTCTGTTCCTGTCTGCGTACGTCTGTGTTCTGGGAGTGCATGTCTGGGTATATCCCTGTATGTGTATGTCTGTATGTCCGTGTCTGTGTATGTCCGTGTGTCCGCCTGTGTCAAACGGACACACGGACATACACAGACACGGACGTACGGACATACACATACACGAACATACACGGACATACACAGACGTACACTGATACGTAGACATACGTGGACAGGAACAGACACAGACAGGGGGACACGGACATGCAGACACAGTCAGACATGCAGGAAAGACACACACAGACGCACACAGACACAGACACGGACACAGTCAGAAAGTGTGTTTGTGTATGTCCGTGTGCCTCGGCATGCCCGTGTGTCACATTAAGTCACGGAATGTCACAAAGATGAGAAGTATGATAGTCACTTCCCTTCTCCACTGCAGACGTCAAGTGTGTGCATGTTGTAGTCATAAAACGAAAACAAACAGAGGGAGAGCAGGACATGGGATATAGGACGAAGAGAGTGCAAATGTTGTAGGGAGAAGAAAACAAACAGAGGGAGAGCAGGCTTGAGTTTCAAGGTACACAGGCAACCATACCTTTGTCGACGAATGCAACGGCGTACACTGTAGATTGAATGCTTCAGAAGATGCAGATTTTGGTTTGATAATTCTGCTTCGGTGGTTCAATCGTGCAGTGCATATGACAACACAAACAGACACAGGATTAGTGAACAATGTGTCATACACACGCCCACATACTAAACGACAGACACATACTCTCGGTCATTGATGTGTTATGCACATAATTCTCAGCTGCAATTTGCCAGCCCTCACTCACACATAATCTGTTTATGTGTATGTCAGTGTATGTCACCCTGCATTGTCACACATGTCACAGTATCGCATTGTACACAATGACATCACCACCATCACAGTGCACAAAACGAGAAGATGTCTGTGAACAAGTCCTCTCCATATATTGTCTCTGCTGTGTACCTCACAATTGCAGAAGTATTCACATCATTAGACGCAAGTGTGTTCACAACACGCATCGTCAATGAGCACAAGTCTTCACACCATACACAAGGATAAAGAAGAAGAGAACACAGTTGTGGCCTGCCATATATTTCCAAATCATGATAACAAATAGTGTTCAAGTCCCCTGACCTCAAGCGCTTAACAGCGCAGCACAAACTCCCATCGAACTCACCGAAGTGGCGACTCCACATCAGCACTACCTCAACAGCATACACACAAACGGTGAACAAAGCATACAATATCAGCCAGCACCTGATAAATAAATCAGACACCAGCGCTACAAAAACAAGAGAGAGACAGACCAGTAGGACGACAAAACACTCAAACACTGAGGACGCAGAAGAAGCACATCACCGACAGTCTCTGACGTCGATGAAGCTCACACGATGAACTCTCCGAGAACAAGCAGTTATGGCTGCACCTCGCCAACTCCACCCTAAACTTGACGAAGGTCTAAGGCTTACCGCACGGTCTATTGATGTCTAGTCTGTGAAGGTGAGACAGTAGTCTCGTGGGACAGAAGCCCGCTGGTCCTCTTCTTCTGCCTGCCCATCACAGTCGTTGTCGCCCGACCAATGCACGCTAGCCACCCATCCTTCTCTTGGACCATCCAGCCATTCATTGGCAAATTTGGAGATCTTCTCTAATATGTCTCTGGGCCTCTGGTATGTGTCCAGGACTTGTTTCGTTTCCCGCCATCTCTGCATAATCTCAAGTTGAAAACAGTTTTTAAAATGTTCCTTCCTTTCCTCCCCTTCGACTCTAACACCCTCCATTGTCATTGCGCAGCGCTGCCACCATAGAACCCAGAGTACCGACCTTCTTGCCAGAGCAAACATGTTCCTTGCATAGGTTGAGTCCTGCAGGCCTGGGTAGTGGCCCAAAAGAATCGCTCTCCAGTCCCATGGCCATGGTTGGTCTGGAATCATTTGTCTCCACACCCTCTCCCACCACCTCCATGTTAGGACTGCCAACGAACATTGCAGGAAAACATGTTCGATTGTTTCAATTCTTCGATGGGACGGGAAGCTTTGGAGGCAGCGAGAACACCATGGATGAGCCCGTCCTTATTGTTCCAATTGAGTATGGTCAATTATCCAGTTGTTCGTTGGGAGAGAGCGGTGGGCAATCTGCCACAGAAGGGATGTAATTTTGGCCGGTTTGCACTTGCTGTTCTGAAACCATTTTATAGGGGACAGCAACTGCCTGTCCACGTTGAGGTGCCGCTGCCACCTGTCTATTACTACATCCCGCACGTTCCTTTTCACGCGTAACATCTTGTATGTGGCTTTTACTGATAGGTTGTTAACAGTTCTGATAACAGTTGTTTGTCTGTTGTTTATTCGATTTTTCTTTTGTGAAGAGTGCCATTGCCATTCCGCGGGGTCCAGGGGGAGTTGTGATATTGGAGTGTCCGGCCTGTATGCTCCACGATCATCCCCTTCCTCCAGCGTGCGGATCCTATGCAGAATTGCTTTGTCAATCCGTTCGAAAGGCGCTCCACTGCCAACCATTTTTCCCTTCCTCCCCACCCTGTACCATTCCACCCACACTGTGACGTCTGTCGGCTGTTCATGGTGAACAAGCCCCACCTGGTGGGATTCGCCCTCCATTATTACCCAGTCCCCCTCCTGTATTTTTGGACCTCTACGCAGGATAGGTCGCCAGGCCAGAGGGAGTGCCTCTATAATCTCCCCCAACGATTCCTCAATGTTACGACAGTATCTCAACTTGTCTTTCATTTGGTCCAGTTCTTTCCAGTCCCTGTGTTCCTTGCCCCAGACGGCCCCTACTTTCATTACCCCCCTTTTTACCC